CAGGAATGTACTTGTAACACTTCAAACAGTAGGGTATGTGTTGGATACACCATCAAATGAGCATGTAGTGTTGTTCATCAGTGCACATGGTGTTTTTCCTAGCGTCTTATAAAGAAATGCTCTTTAATTCATGGGACTGTGGCTTGAGAACACTGTAAAACTCTTGCAGAGGCACAGAGCAGATAAATTAAGTAGAACTAATTTACTAAGACTTTAAGTATGTGAAACTCTGTTCCAAATATTGTGCTGCTTTTTCCAGATGAGGACCCAATATTCTTGTTCCACTGTTCATTTATATTTTCTGGCTCACAACTGTAAATTGTCTCTCTCAATGCACTTATTATATAATGGCAAGGAAGAATAATGATAGTGGCATTTGGAAATGTTTAAGTTCATTTGTATTCCTTGTACAGATGGCCTCTGCAATCATAAGTAACAGAGAAATATCCGAGGAATTTTCAGGCAATTAATCCGAGTTTAAAACCAGCATCATCCCAACAGCAAGCTGCAGAAAATGCCTGGAATGTTAATAGAAAGTACTTCTGGAAGGAATACTCGGTTGTTGTTTCTTTCCCTTGAAAACCATTTACTGAAAGGGACGTTGTTGATTGATGGTGCCTTCTGTCTGTCTTTCCAGAACTCCAGCGCAGATCATCGGGTTCGACTGGACCTTGGGCTTTGGGACAAATTCAGTGAACTTGCAACAAAGTGCATTATTAAAATAGTGGAATTTGCGAAGCGATTGCCAGGCTTTACAAGTTTGACCATTGCAGACCAGATAACTCTACTTAAAGCAGCCTGCCTGGATATACTGGTATGTGTTTTTAAGATTGTTGTTAGACTACGGGTGTATTTTCTATTATTTGTTTTTCTGTAAGTGACAGGGAGAGGGGGTCAAATACTGCCCCAGCCTTATGGTTGCAGAATTGAACTTACCGCATAGTCTGGTACGGTCCTGAGTGGAGTCTGGCATGTCTACAGATGTGTGTGATAAGGGAGGAGCATACAGTTCAAAATATATAGTAACTCCGTGTAGTTTGTGGATTTCAGTACAGTTGCAAGAAGTCGCATGTTTTGCTATTGTGGCACTAACTTGAAATATTTGCAACTTTGGAAAAATTTCCTCATTGTTAACACTGAAGAGAGATCTGATTCTCTTTCTTTCCTCTTTCCTCCAAAACATAATGCTCCATGTAAAGGATATCTAGAAAGACAGTCTGCTGTACAACGTTTTAGGAAATGTGCTGTATCTGTGGTCATGAGGTAATTCAGGGAACAAGACACAAATCTTCAGAGTGAGGTTTTTGCAGGTTGTAGAGGGGTAACTGGTGTGCCTGGAGCCTGATGGGCATAAGCTTCCAGCTCACAGATCTCCCTGCTTTCATCAGTGCTGCAGGCACCTGTGGAAGTGGATGCTGTAATGGACTCTGTACAGATTTTAGCTAAATGTAATTTAATTTTAAATAGGGAAACATACAACCTGCAGCAGGGAACTGTGCAGATGGGCTTGGAGTTTTCTTCTAGACCTTGCCACTATGTCAAACTGTCTGCCCTCTGTCTCTGGTCGTTTCTGTCACGCTGACCTTCAGAGGAGCCCTCTGGGATCTCAGCATTTCTTTGTCAAGACCTTAGAGGTCTTCAGGCATTTAGTGGCAAATATGCTTCTTATTATTGGTTGTACCAGTAACTTCAGTAAAACAGTATTTTCAATGTGTTTGAAACATATTTTAAATATTTCCTTCTGAGCACAAACCTTCAGGTCTTTATTGAGCCAAGCATAGCCGAGAAGCTCATTGTCAGATGGCTAACGTCGAGATGGTTTTTTGGCATGACACAGGAGTTTAAACAAGGGAATTTGAAGTTGAAGTAATTAATCTTGGAATTTCTGAAAGTGCATTGCTTCAAACAGGATCATATTGAGGAGGACGTTAACTGCTGTGACCTTTTCCTCTTGTTTTGTCAAAAGCTGTTTTGAAGAATCGCATCTAGAGGACATTGATGAAGGAGGAAGAGGGGTGGGAGAGGGGATGGGATATAATTCTCCAGCCTATGAAAAAGGGATGGTTGAGGTTGCCCTGCTGTGCTCAAGAGTCACCTCTCATTGTCCGCTTCATCCAGGCACTCATTCATACGTGGCCATCTCCTGGTTACGGTGTGTGGTCCCCCGGCGGGGCAGGGCCATTCGTTACCGATTGCACGCCTGTCGTCGCCTGCTCTGTCCTGATAAGACACAGCTACATTCCCCTTGCCCCGACAGGCGTACAGTGATCGTTAAGCTGTGGCCTTGCCTTGGGTGTATTCTGCCAGAGCTACAGGATGGAAGCTACTTTGTGTTTCGCTGTGTTAGCCGGTACTAAATGGTTAATCCAGAAACTACACAAAAATGGTGAGGAGTCAGGATACAGCAAGAATCTGCACATCCAAACTCTTTACCCCCTGAACTTCAGCCTTTCAGCTGCCATCCCCTGTTTGTCATTGCTGTTCCCTGGCTCTGTAGCTGCTGTTAAAAACCGTGCCCTAATTCTGTAATTGCTCAGGATCCTGCAAGCTCCTGACGCTCTTTGTTGGGATGGGCAGTGGGAGCTTATCCCACAGCCCCTGTGGCATGGGATCCCCCAGCAGCTCTACTTGCTTCTTGTGTTGCTGGCATTGGCTGGACAGTATCAAGTATGTAGGGGTAGCCTTTCTGCTAGCGGTTTTATCTGAAGTGCTTAGATAAAGGCACTTCACAGCCTTTGATCAAAGTGACTAAATAAAAGCCTAGTTGCCAGATTAGAAAAAGAATAATGAAGCAGGTGGTAAATGGTGACTATATTTCTGCTAATTAATGGTTAGAAAGGCTTGGTTCTTTAATACAATTCACCACTTTTACTTTGTAGCCATTTGGCAACCTTCAAGCTCTAGTTATAAACTTTATTGAGACCTCTCATTCCCGATCACCTGCTCATTCTCTTTTTAATTTTTCATGAAGCTGGAGAAGGCAACACATCTCAGCAAACTGGGCACAGCTTGTGCTATAGCTACCCATAGCAGGGAGGAGCTGTGGCTTTTCTGAAAACAGGAGCAGATAAGACGTGGTTGCCACACAGTCCTACCTTTCCTGTGTGACATTTACACAAGCTTTATGTGACTATTTTATGTGCTGCTTAAAAAGAAAAAGGGATAATTACCACGAGCACAGTGATGGGTAGTGCACACGCTGGCTGGGAAATGCCCATATCCGTTAAACCCACATCACCTGCACATCATCAGAATTGCAATGCAGCTCTGTATCTTTATTTAAGCTCAATTTCAGTACTTGGAGCAACATTTTTAAAGCACATATTTCCCCTCCCAGCAAGTTAGTTCTCCTAATGATGAGGAGTGTTTTGAGCATTGTATTTTGTGCATTGAGATGTGGAGTGAGCACCATTTGCCCTCTTGCTGTGTGAACAGCGCTGCCTGCCCATGCTCTGCTGGGTGAGCACTGCCCAGTGTGGGCATCAGCCTCTCCGGTGTGCATTCCCATCCTGCTGCTGTGCAGTCCCCAGGACGTGTCCTCAGAGCCACACCACGTAGGAGGAGCAGCGTGGGGTTCCCAGCCCAGCCAGGTAGGGTGGCCAGACTCCCCCCTGCCAGGAGGATCTTGGTTCACTGCCCACCCAGCAGATCCATCTCTGGGCTGCACGGAGTCAGGAGCATTTATAGACCCTGTCAAGGGCACATAAAAGTCATAGAATCCTTACAGTTGGAAAAAACTGCTAAGATCATGAAGTCCGACTGTCAACCCAACACCACTATGCCCACTAAACCATCAAGCCTTGCAAGGCAGCTGAAGGTGCCTATCGAGGATGGTAGAATTTACATCTGCTCTGGTGCCAAAAGTTTCAGGGATAAATACTACTAAAATTCAGTCAGCAACCCTCATAAAAGTGAGTGCTTCTGTCTGCTGGTACACTGGCCCAGCAGCTGTGGAGCATCCCCAGCCTCACTGAGCTCTGGCAAAATGAATATGGAAAGAGTCCAGAGTCCAGCCTGTCTCAAATCCAGTGGATAAAATCCTGGAAAGTCCTTGAATGCTAATCCTCAATAATGTCATTTTTGCTTTCTGTTGTAAAATGCTGTATGTAAGGGCTAGGAAGGCTTTGCATGTGCATAATTACCTGTGCTGGTGGGGTATGGCAGCGCTGTGGAGGCTTGTTCTTTGTTTTAGAGTCACTTGCTTGAGTTTCTCTTCTCAAGAAACTGTCCCAGCTGGCCAAAGCAGCTAGCTTATAACAACAGCATTTCTTAAAAAAAGGCCAGCTTGCCCTAACAAATCTGTTTAAAATGAGCAACGTTTCTATGATAGCAATAATTTAGTAAATCAACTTTCTGGATGTTTTTGGTTTTGTGCAATGTGTAGGGTTTTTGCTGTGAGATTTGTAACTGGCTCATAGGAACCCCAGACTCTTTAAGATGTAAATAGTCCTTAAAACAAAAGGTCCTTTAATCATCAGCAAGAACCTTAATTACGGCTGCAAGTGGCATTTAAGAACAGAGTGACAACTAAAATACTTGGCGTGGTTACAAACTCTAAACAACATTGAGGACATTAAGAGGATGTCTTTTAGACAGAGGTTCAGTTTAAAACAGAAAGATACCGTGATTTCTTATTTTGAAGTGCTGACGTTTCCCATATGTTCTTCAGTGAATATGAGCTTGAAATCAGCTTCACTTCAACACTGGAAGTTTGCCCAAGAAAGGTTTAGCGATATCCATGGCGTTTCACAGATCTTGATGAAGGACACAAATTTAAAAAGAAAAAAATTTCAAATGATCTGTCTGAGCGTTTAATAGCAGCGTGTTTTGGGATAATGTCGAAGGAATGCAGGAGAAACCCGAGCCCTGGTGGCTGCAGTCAAGCTGAGTGCATTGCAGCAACCACGTGGCTGAGCCGGGGCTGTGGCAGTGCACCAGCAGAGCCACTCCAGGCTCCTCTGGTTGGTGCTGGTGCAGCTTTTTGGTCCAAATGCCTGGTCTGCATTTGGAAAAGCTGTCCTACTTGCTGCCAGGTCCTAGAAGTAGCTAAATTCAGTGACAGCTTTATGTTTTAATTATGAAAGTTGCAAGGCCCCTGGAAATCTGTTTCCGTGCGTGCCCACAGGGTAAGCTAACCCCAGATTCATTCCTGATGAGGATCCAGCTTGGAAGTCTTCCTCTGTGTTAGTCCTGGGGGGTAGGGAGTGATCTGGTAGGTCTTTGCTGAACAATCCCCAGCACACATCCCCAAGCAGAGTGGGGCTTACAGCAGTAGGGAGTGGGCCCAGAGAGCTTCACAGTGAGGAAGCCAGCAGCAGTTGTATGGGAGGAGGTGTGTGTTGAACCCCTGAGTTGTTTGGGATACCACTCCAGGGCACCCCAGTCCCTTTAGGTCAGCAGTCTCTGGCAGATGTGGCACTGGCAGCTGGTACCCAGGCTTGCCCTCAGAGGGAGGATACAGAGGATCTGCATCTGCCTGTCCTGCTTGGGCAGCTGCTGGGGAGGCTGCAGGCAGCCTTGGGGGAGCACCACAGCGTTGCCCAGTTTAGCTCCAAGTCCTGCTCTGCTAAGTTGTTGGACTGAGGAGTCCTGAGGGTGTGGAGGGAGGAACTCAGATTGCAAAGGCCTAGCAACTAAAATAGCACTGGAATAAAAGGGACTGCCCTTCTCCCCAGCTGAGTGAGAGAAAAATCAGTTACCACTTCAGCAGTACAGAGCCTTGATCCTCCATAAGTTGGGTGCCCCATCGTCACAGGCTGCGCATCCTTTCTGAGAGGCAGCTACCCTATGTGCAGGCTTCCAATGGGAAGAGTTGCACTCCAGTGGCATGCCATTAGAGAAGTAAACCCAGCTCTTGGGCTTCTCAGGAAATGTGCAAAGTTTTCAAACATTGCTTTTCTGGAAAATAACAAGCTCTGCATGTTTCTTCTCCTTTATATACAATTTAAAAAAATTATTTTAAAGGATAATGACAGTGAACTTTACAGGAGAGAACTGCTGGTGGTTACTGGCAGCAATGCACTTTGGCTATTGCACAAAGCCTTTTAAGATCACTTCTCTTAGTGGGTAATCTGTGGTCAGTGAAGAATCTGAGTGCCATGCATTTGTATTTGTGCTTCTCTTGGTTATTAATTAAAAAACATTTCAAGATCTTCTTCTAATTCAGGGGTTGGGAAACGATGTGAAACATGCCTGTCCAACCACGCAGAGCTTCAGTGTGTACCCACAGTGTGAGATAAGATTATTGCTGAGATAGAAAATAGTTGAAGAGCCTTCTGCAGAAATACACCCTATTAAGTCTCTTACCAAGGAATTTAAGAAGAGAAATAAAAGCTTCCCTGTAGGTCTCCTGCGTGCCATGTCCTTCTCATGCTCCTCCCTGCTTATTTGGAGCAGTGTTGCCAGGGAAAGATGAAAGTGGGAGAACCAAGCCCAGGCTGGTCAGCTGCCAAGCACTGGGGCCTCTGACTCAGAGTTTTGGCAGCTATAGGAATAATTAACATTCTCCCTTTGCTCACTTATATTCCTGTAAATCTTTTTTTGTTGAATCTTTAAAACAAAGTCAGATGGGCTCTATGGGAAATAAATATAGTCGAGCCCTGAAAAAATAGGGCTGTAGTCTTAGCTCAGCTAATCAGCCAGACTTCTGTAGGATTTTCATTTAGTGTAGGGATAGGCCCTCTCCCACCTCTGATTATTTTAAACATTAAGCATTGATACATGTAACAGAAATATGTCAGCATGATGGACGTCTCTTTTATTTGCTCCTTAAGGCACTGTTCATTCATAGCAGCTGTACAAACGAGCTCCTGCCCTACAGGGTCTGCCATGGGACACATCCTGGGTTTGCTTGAGGGGCAAAAGCATCCCTGGAGGTGCTGTCTCCAGAGGTGCTGCAACTGCCCCCACTGCCACTGCACTCCTGCTCATATCCCCAGGGCAGTTACAACAAAATGCAGAGCATCCTTAGTGTTTTATTCATTCCTCCATGTCCAGTAAGAGGTGTGAATCCCCATCCTACCCCCGAACGCTCTTTCATCTGGGGTCAGTGCTGGCTTGCTGATATCAGAAAAGGTAATTTGCCAAATGTAACACTGCCTGGGCTTGTGCAGGAGTGAGTGACGCCACCAGCAGCAGGGAGAGATGCTTTGCTCCGGGCAGGCAGGGTGTGCAGCCTTACCAGCTCTGCATGGGGCTCAGGACAGGGGAAGTGCCCGAGCCACAGGGAAGTCTGGAGGCCAACTTGCTGGTGCGGCTGCTCAGTGTTACAGCACGTGGGACTGAAAGCAACGGTAAAAGAAGGGAAGCTGGGCTCATACCTCAGGCTGCTGGCCAGGCTGCTGGCAGCCCTGCACGCTGCCCTGAGGAGGTTCAAAGTTTGATCATCTGTGGAGGTACAAGCTCATGGGCTGATAAGACAAGTGGTGCTCCATGGAGATTGCAACTGCAGCTCCCTGGGAGATGGAGGGCAGCTTTGCACCACTCTCTCCAGAACTCACACACTGGGGCTGTGTTCCCATGTGGAGTTTTCCTACCCGCTGTCACAGAAGGCACCCCATAGCACAAATAGGTTCTGGCTCTTTCACCAGCTTGCAGCCATCTGCACACACACCAGCTAACCACAGAGACACTTGGTCCTTACCAAAGGCATAACCCAGAGAAGCACTGTCATGCAATATTGATCCCCAAAATCACTGCAGAATGTGTCAGTTGGAAGAGGTGAGATACTGCTGGATCAGATCAGCCGTGCAATACCATTTTATACTTAGGTGTGTGTAGCATCCTAATTAAAGAGCAGTTTATATGAATATTATTATTGTGATGTTGGTGAGTTAGATGGCCAGAACTGCACAGAACTTTTTATTATTTCATAACTCAGGAAAAATTTAGTTCTTAAATTTTTTATTAGAAATACCTGTTGTTGATTGAGTATTTGTGTTGTACCAGAGAATTTTTATGCTACGAGTACTGAACAAACTGGAGTTTTGTTTGGGATTGTTTTGACGTGACCTTATGTTGCAGCTCAACGGGTCATTTGCCACATCGAGAAAATGCAACAAACCTATAATGGATTTAATTCTTCCTATCTTTTTCTGTCCTTCCACAGATCCTTAGAATTTGCACAAGATACACACCAGAACAAGACACCATGACTTTTTCAGATGGCCTTACCCTAAACCGAACTCAGATGCACAACGCCGGATTTGGCCCACTGACTGATCTCGTGTTCACGTTTGCCAACCAGCTCCTGCCTTTGGAAATGGATGATACAGAAACAGGTCTCCTTAGTGCCATCTGCTTAATCTGTGGAGGTATCGTACAGAATGAACTTGGATGCATTTGAAAAGGACAGACACGATGAGATCTTCATTTATGTTTTACTTGGTTTGCTTTCCTGTATTAAAACATATATAATGTGTATGTGCAATATTATTATATAAACCACTTAACACTAAAGGTTTTTTTTCCTGCTGGCAATAAGTTATTGGTTTTATTATTGATACATTTTAAAATTAATGGAATCATTCTGTCAAGCAACCAATCCTATTATTTGCCTGATGGGGACTTCAGGATATATCCTACTTTTGTATAAGCATGTGGGTACTTGTAGGGATGACCTTTGTTAAGGCAAGATGGCCACTTTGCAACTTTGACTCTCTCCTCCTTTGCAAAATCTGGACTAGGGATAGAAACAAACCTTGTTTAAGTTGGACCATTTTGTTGAACTACTAACTGGGTGCTACTAGAGAACGTTTACAAAACAAGAGTCAGTCTTTGTTGACAATGCCTCGTTAGTACCAAATAATTCCAATTTTATGCATCTCTAACCATAACCCCTCAAAAACATCGATGGATTCTGAGATGTCATTAATACGGGAGCGGTGAATCCTGGTTTATGGGTGACGTTTATTGTCACTCAAGCTAGCACTGCCATCTGCTGATACCTGATGGTAACTCACTTTATTTTAGTATTGATACAAAAAATCAGTTAGCTATTGTCTCTTTGTATGCCTTGGCAGCTTACCAATGATGTATACAAAAATAATTCTGAATTGTTGTTTGCAGCGAGGATTTTTCACCTTGGAGAGGGAGGTACAAGAGCAATATAATTCTGGACCATTCAAATGACAAACCTACTGGAAAGTTGTCACCAAAGCAAAATTAATCTAAGTTTCAGAAAACCATTGTTTGCTCTCTTCCCACAAAATATTTGCTGCAGAGTGTGGGTCATATGTGGAGAAAAGATTAAATTCATGGAGCTCTGATCAAGAACATGGAGAAGCTTCTGTGATTTGGAGTTTGTAAGCAAAAAAACCAAACCATAACAAAAGACCAAGTTAAACTCATACATGTGATGATGATACTTTTCTACAGATCGCCAGGACCTTGAAGAACCAGTGAAAGTGGATAAGCTTCAGGAACCGTTGCTTGAAGCACTGAAAATTTATATCCGAAAGAGACGACCCAACAAGCCTCATATGTTCCCAAAGATCTTAATGAAAATCACAGATCTTCGTAGCATCAGTGCAAAAGGTACAGTGTCTGCCAGCAGAGCCAGTGTTATGTTTCAGGCCTAGAGACCTGAGTTGTTATTTTTTAAATGTATCTAAGAAGGTCCTTTTGACCTTTGTCATTAGGCTTTGAAACAGGCTGCCCAGGGATGTGATGGGGTCACTATCCCTGGAGGTGTTTAAGAGATGTGTAGATGTGGGGCTTAGGGATATGGTGTAGTGGTGGAGTTGTCAGTGTGCTAGGTTAATGGCTGGACGTGGTGATCTTCAAAGTCCTTTCCAACCAAAACAATTCTATGTTTGTATTATTTTCTCTCCTTTATGTAATTCCCATGTTTGGTGCTGCATTCCTTGTGCAACGTACAGTAAAAATGATGTCTTAGGTATATATGGGTTAGCAAATCATTGGCGTGAACTCTTTGTTAGGAATTTTAAGACATGGTAAAACCCTGTATTAGACCTTTGTTCATATTTAAAAGAGGGCCTGGGTCAACATGCATCTTGTATCACTCATGGCTTTCAAAAAACAAAGTGTTTACAGACAGCAGACAAAAATTGTGCACCTAGAATGCTCTTAAATTGTGGTCTGACCTACTGAAGATTTAGAACTACCTTGATCCAGGATTTTGGAGTTTCAGCACCACTAACCCAAATGGATCAAATCTGACAATTTGTGTAGTCGTGTGTGATCTGTGGATCATGTGAAGCACGGGCAGTCTTAGCTCCATCCCATCAAGTCTCTAGGGCACAGGTAGTTGGCTGCTTTAATTTTGTCAGAGGTTCCCTGCTCAGTGTCTTGTCCCTCAAGGCAAAGAGCTGGAGAAGGGTGGTGCCAGCCGCTGTGCTCAGGCAGCTGAGGACAGTCAGTGTGTGGCATCTCGTTGGCAGCCTCTGTGCACACCCATTCTGCCCTGTGCTCCTCTCGGTTGCCTACCCCTGTGTCTCCCTGAGACCTTATTTCACATGTGTCCTGTTGTTTCATAAAGGTTTGCTTCCAGACTTCTGGAGATGTACCAGCCTGAATGCAGACAGTCTGCAGTGCTATAGTGCTTATTTTTCAGTGCTTGATGCAGTTCCACTGTCTCACTAAGCTTACTCAGCTGCAGATTTGCCACCCTGATAGATGAGCAAGCAGATATACTTGTATGTACAGGTACCTGTGTAGCTATAGACTGGATTTATGCCTTTGAAAAAAATTGTTCATGTCATTTGACATGGTTTTTGAGAACATTTCAGGAAAAAAAACCCCAGCAGTTGAATCACTTGATATAATACGCTTTTACATTCAAACCTGAACTCTTAAAACAACATAGATATCTAAGTTAAAAGATTAAGCTATAGCTATGTTTATAAAAAGAAGCAAGCAATTTAATTGGATTGATTAGTACCAAAAGAATAACTTGGAAGGGAAACATCAGAGCTGAAAGCAAAGGTATGCTAAAGAGGAACTGCTGACCAGGTTACCTAAAGCTTGCCATTTACCCTCAAGTAAAGCAAGCTACACCCAACTGAATCTCCAAACCAAACTTGCACAACACTGAGCTATAAAAATATTTAGGGAAGCCTTTACATTCTGCATGTGTTGCTTGTGGGAAGCCTATTTCCACTTTCCTGCTTCTTTGCCAGAGCACTCCAGCTCCTCAAGAACACAGCTCTGTTTCTTTATGTTCAATGCACAAGAAAGGATTCTTCTTTCCTTCTGACATGAGTATTTAACTTTAATTATATCATTATTGTTTTATAGTAGCACTAAATCATACTAAAGGACTGGTGATGTCCTGGAGGGGCGGGTGTGTCTTGAGTTTCATTTGAAAAGATGTACATTAAAAGATAATGACTCTTGATGGTACATGATCCCTGAAAGCAATTACCAAAGTAAGCATGAACCTAAAAGACCGAGAACATCTCCTTACACTTGTGTTCCTTGTACAACTATATTCTTCTGTGGCATTAGAATTATGGTAGCAAAAGAATTAAGTGTTCATGGGCCTGAAGCAAGAGATCATCTTCTGAGTTGCCTTATCCCACTATTAAATTAAAAACTGGCAAGACCTGAAAAATTGCTATGGCACTACACTGGAGTAACCACACTGGAGTAACTGCAACTGGCCTACTCCAGAACAGAAGAAAGCAGGTATTTAATGGGGCCAACTCTGAGCAGCCCCCAATGGGGCCTGCTCTGACTACAGGCTATTTTCAGAGAAGCTCTCAGTATAAATCTATATTAATTTCTTTCCAATTGCTTGCCCCTTTCTTCCTCACAGTTACTTAAGAGCCTTTCTAATTGGCATTTACTTGGAAAGTTGTTTGTTGCCTTTGTAGGTGATTTTTGATGCTCCTCAGTTAAGGCATGAATGTAAGCGCTGCCTTCTACTCTGGGGCTCCCATTGTGACTGACAGTGTGCTCTCTCCAGCATGGACATTAGCACAGACGACCAGAGTATACCCAAAGGTTCTTTCCTCATGAACACGTCTTCAGTAACCAGACTATTTTCTCTTTAATTTCTCATTAATTTTATTTCTTGCTTTCCTTCACTTTTAAAAAAGCACAGATTGCTGTTGCTTTAGACTCAGATTTTAAGATGATCAGGAATCCAGTGCAACAGCTTAGACCAGCTATTTGTATGCTGAGGTTTATGGCTATAAATTGCCTGATGTTGTCCTGATAAGAAAAAAAAATAATCTTTTTTCCTGTCAGTGTATCCTGACTTCATTTGAGGTGCATATTTCCCAAATACTCCTGTCTCTTTGTGGTCCTCACTACTGAGTGGCTGAATGTTGAGTAACTTGCAGTCCTTCAGCTGTATCAGTTGTTTACAACACTGTTGCACTTGCCCAGGGTGTTCTAGGGTTACTGCTGCCTGTTGAGGGCTTGCTGACCCTGGCTGCCTACATTCTTCTTCTTCTTTCCCAGTTTTCTATATTGGAAAGAAATGTTGTGACTTGCATCGCTGCAGTTCTCTTACAGCATGGGCCTCACCTTTTTAACATGCATCAGCCAGAATTTTTTATCATTCTACAGTCTTTGCAGATCCTCTGCAGATTAAAACCTGTAAAGTATATTCCTGTAAAGGCATCTGTGTGATCACAGTGTAATTTGATTTTTCAGTATAATTTAATGCCGGTCATCCAATTTACCTGTATTGTAATATCAGTTGCTGTGTCATAATTTTAAATTAATTTGTTAAGGAGTAATTATCCAAGTCCTGTTTCTTGTAATGAAGTCATTCACTTATGTAACTGTTTGCAAGAAGTATAGAAGGAGACACCAAATCTCCATTAAAACAACATACCCTGGAATCGCCACTGATGATGCTAACCAAAAGGAAATTGTACAAATCATACTAATGGCAAGGGCTTTTTGTTTTCTTTTTAAAGGTGCAGAACGTGTCATTACATTGAAAATGGAAATTCCTGGATCCATGCCACCTCTTATTCAGGAAATGTTGGAGAACTCTGAAGGACACGAACCACTGACACCATCCTCCAATGGAAATACTGCAGAACACAGTCCGAGTATCTCACCCAGTTCAGTGGATAACAGCAGTGTCAGTCAATCCCCTATGGTGCAATAAGACATTTTCCAGCTACTTCAGACATTCCTAATACCTTATGTACAGGGATGAAAAGCAAGAAAAACATTTTTACTGCTGCTTAGTTTCTGGACTTAATATATATCTATATATGTGTATATATATATAGATAAAAACTCAACAAGGACCAATAAATTTTCATATGTATCGATATATACTCCTTGCTGTTTAAACTCTTAAAACTAGAAAATGCAATCTTTTGAAACTCTAAATCAGCCATTTCATGCAAAAAATAGTTAAGCTTCTGTTTTCTCCTCTGAACATTCAAGACTGCATGGTGACAAGACAGATCTCAAACTTCAAATTCTGGTTGCATTTCTGATGACTTTGTACATACAAATGTATGGCTGTAGGTTCTATACTGGATGTTTGGTGCTTTCCTTTTGTCTCTCATGATTAAACCGATCCAGACACCAACTACATGAAATGGACTACTGTGCACATCCAGAAAAGGAAGTTTAAAGGACCATCTGATTTAGTTTAATACAAAAACTTGTCTTTTGATGCCCTTGGTTGCAGCTCCTTCCTTGTAAAAAGTATACAAAGATTCACTGCAGTAGCAGAGAAGACGTCGGTATCAGCATTAACTGCCAGATCAGTTATTCAGATGTCATTTGTTCCACTGTTAATGTCACTTTAAAATTTAAAGAAGTGGTTTCTTACCTGGCTGGTGACCTAGCTACACAATTAACTACTACACTTCTACAGTAATGATAGCCTCCAAGGCAGAAACACTTTTCAGTGTTACCATGTTTCTTGTTTACTTGTTCACAAGCCATTAGGGAATCTTCATGGGATGATAACCAGCACTCATTTACAGCATTTGAGTTGGTGAGTTTGGGGTATTTCCTTACCAATCGACTACCAGGAATTAGCTGGGTAGCTAGGGAAGTACAGCTAGGACTTCCAGAAACACAAGGAGAGAATCTGCCTTCTTGGCCTTGTTAAATCACCATGAAGCAGAGTGAAAACTGTGGTAGAACGGTTAACAGATTTAAAGTGTCAGTTTCTTAGGTTTCATTTAAAGCACTAGTGGATTTTTTTTTTTTTTATATTCTAGCAAGTCTGTGATGTACTTTCACTGGCTCTGTTTGTACATTGAGATTGTTTAACAATGCTTTCTATGTTCATATACTGTTTACCTTTTTTCCATGGAGTCTCCTGGCAAAGAATAAAATATATTTATTTTAAAAAAAAAAACAAACACAACTGTGTAGCAGCAGTGTCTCTCATCCAATTTTTACACAAACACGCACATGGTAGTTTTCAATTTTTTAATGTTTAAACTTCATTTCAAAAAGCAGGTTTGCTGTTTGCAACCATGACAATTAAAATGTGCTTTAGCACAGCTGTCTAGAACATCTCTACAAGCAAGTCAGACAAATACATGACATTTCAATGAGTAAAAAAGAGCATAAAACTGTAGGTGTAAGAACAAAATGTTAAAATGCCTACACACAATAATAAAAACCATCAATTACATTATCACATAAAATAAGTCAAATGTACAAAAGTTTGCGACAGAAGGGACAAAAGGACAACACAAGATATTTGTTGGAAAACATTTGTGTGCTCTTTGGGCACTTAATTAAACATATCAAAATCGTCATCTTCATCAGACTCTGCAAAATATTTAACTTCTTTTCTAGCCCGGCCTGTCCGTGGCTTTGGGGCAGTTTCGGAGGCAAAGCCTGACTGAAAGATTTCCACATCAGAATCCTGGTCAAAAGTGGCCTTCTTGGATTTCTTTAGAAAAGAAAAGACACATCAGTTGAGATGCCGTGTATGTTTTCCCTTTTAATATTCAGAACTGAAGGAAAACTTCTCTAACATCTAAACATGCTTAACCCCCCATTACCATATTAGCAACCTATAATAAGAAAATGTCCCTTCTCTGTAAACTAATCCATTAGGTTCTTTTTCATAAGGAGATAAGAGCAAAGCTGGAACTGACCTTGCTTGGGGTCGATTTCGGTGTTTTCTTCCCAGGGTTGTAGTCGCCTTCATTTTCTGAACTGGATGCTTTCCTTTTCTTTGCCCCTCTACCTTTTCCTAGTGGACAGAACATGATTTAACTTTGCTTTACTTTTTTTTTGTTTAATTTTTTTAAATTGTTTTAAATAAAACTCCACACTTCAGCAAACTGAACAAAACAATTGAAACTAGTAGCTATTTGCTAAAGTTAAAATTTATTTTACATCTCAAGCTTCTTCACACCAGCAGTAAAATACAGATTTCATTTTCTCTGTTTCAAATCTGTTATACTTGTTCCAAAGTTACCATTCACCCTAGCACTTGAAGCTGTCTGTTTAAAACGGGGACTTCTAGACTGAAGAACAAGTCCTCAGACACCTTCTATACTCATGGCACTTGTACTATTTAGTACATTTACTGTTCAACTATCAACACTGGTACATCCTTTACAGACATCTTCGATTGCACCACTAGGTGTGCTTTGTTGTGAGGACTCTGACAGCTAAGAACTGGGATACCAAAGAATCAGTTAAAAAAGCCAGAAATTACTATTCACTAGAATTACTATCAGAATTTTACTGTCTTATGAAAAGCTGAGATCAAATAAAATAAGTGGTATAACTGATGAACAAAAAGAGGAGGACTGGAGCTATTAAATACATTACCCCCAGTGTAGGTCAGATAAAAAGTTAACACACTGTTTGTTAGAAGTCACTACATGGTATTTGTCACAGAAAAGGCTCATGGCTGACTAACCTCCTAGTGATTCATTTACTAATAAATCAGTGTGGTCCTAATTTTAGAGGCACTAGCTCTGCTTCCTTATACAAATGCTTGTGAACATTAGCACTGCACCAAAGCTCTTACCTTTGGGTGCTGCAGTCTTCTTTGGAATGCCAAATTCTGAATCGGAGTCAGAGTTTACAGGTTCCACCTTCTTGGCCTTGGGAGCTCTTTTAGGTTTAGGGGGCACATCTAGTTTTGCTGTGAGAAGTTAGAGATACTAAATATGTTAAATTCACACATTTGTTAGAGGTATTACATGTTATTAGACACTCGGAGCATAAATGGCAGCTATTAAGAAGAGAGCTTTTTGCACTTGGGGAAAATACTTCAGCTTTTATGCTAAAACTGCATGAACGTTTCCTTTGTCAGAGATTTATCAGAGCATTCAGTAAGTTCCAGTGGTTTTGATTAACTACTTTTTCATCTTTTCAAGCACAAAACAGGTAACCAGTAACTAAATCAGCAGAATGCAATCACAGAATGATTTAGGTTGGAAAAGACCCTTAAAACCACTGGATAGTATGTTCTGTATGCTTACAGACAAGTCAGTCTTTTGCAGAAAAGACTTGGGAGGGAAGCAATGATGCTTAGGATGGAAGTCAGGAACTGTACTTGAAAGCAACTTGAAATAGGACTCTCTAGATATCTCATCTTGGAAAAAACAGCTGTATTAGGATAAAGTAACATTAAATAAGCCACAAATACCTACTAGTAAGTCTGGAAAAAGTACACAGCAACTGAAAGCATCAGGAATATGTATAGAAGCACCACCAAAAATTATTAACTAGTTATCGGTAACGGAGGGGGCAGTGTCACCTGAAGGCACATGACTTCAGGTGCCAAAAGGAAATAAAGTCCTTCATACAGGTAAAAGCTTTACCAGCGTAAGAAACACAGACCAGGGGGCAGGGAAAGGTTCATCAACTTCCAAGATCCCAAGCAGAAATTGTGACCAAAAGAATCCTAGCAGAAGGGATCAGTTTCAGATCTAGCTGACATTCAATATCAGGAGCTGAGGTTTAGATGTCTTCCTACAGGATTATGTATGCTTCAGCCAGGTAATTGTGCCTTGCAGTTCCTCATGCCAATAATACAAAACTTGTGTACCAGACAGAAGCCAAGTATGCTCCATTGACAAGTACTAACCAGCACATGTACTATGAGATGTAAGTATCTTCATCTGGCCCCAAGTTCTCGAGTTTCTTTACTAGTGTTAGAAAAGGGGCAGACTTTTCACTGACAAACAAGGAACTGGGGAAAAGGAAATAACTGGCAAATGAAAAGAGAGGTATGATGCACTGCCACAAACACTATTTTCTTGAACTCGTTCTTCCCTTGAAACAGAGCCTGTCATCTGTTGCCAATTCCTGTGAAGTCTGCCTGTAGAACACCAAGTCTAAATGACAGCAACCTCAAAATTGTTATCTATTGAATAAAATAATAGTGTCCATGGCTTCCAGAACATGCATCTCCCTCTGCACTAACTCTAGGGGCTACTGTACTTAAGATAACATACCTAATGCCTGCACAAGTGGGAAGGATCTCTGACAGCAACCAGACTGCAGCCAGCTCAGTCAATATCTCCACTAGGTATTGTGATATGAAATGGAAGTCTGGAATGCAGTGGAGTCAACGTACAGTAAGCTCTTGAGAAGGCCAAGTTTTTGGTAGAAAGCACAGTAATTATATCAGTCCTACAGCTGATAGGAAAGCTACATCTCACCAGCTGGGCTGTTCAAGGTGTGCAGCTGCATATAATCAAGGAGTAAGACCGTTGTTCATATTTCCCTTAGGCTTACTATAAAGCATAAGAACCACAGACCTTGAATAGTGCATGGAAAGCAAGCTCAGCAGTCTCTTGATCCTCTGTTGGGAAAAACACTAGAGTTCGAGATTTCTTCCGAGATTGATCAAAGTCTGAAAAGAAGCTGAACTCACACCTACTCCTTTATTTCTTCTCACTGAGAAGGGAATGTGACTGTACAAACAGCAACATCTACTCTTCTATTCTTACAATCCAAGCTCATCCATGCCCTAGCTACTGCACATACTGTTCTAGTTATTTACTGCAAAACAAAAATTTATCATATTGGACTGTTATATTAGAGATCAGCTATTTCTGGAAGCAATCTTCCTTTCCTGTGTTATAGAACTTCACCAGCTGAAGGTGAGAAGCATGCAGACATTCGGTGATTCAAACAGTTCACAAATCAGATTAGACATAATGCAGTGAGATAGAGATTAGAAGCAAGCAGGCAATGGAGGCAAGGATGAAAAGATGCTGCAATTCACTCGTACCTGACATTACCTGACTGGTCCTTATTTCCACAAAGTAAGATCCTGCAAGGTGCCAGTTCTAAAAGCCTCAGTATTAATTGAAAGAAGTTTCAGGAGGGCCTTTCATCCTCCATTTCAAGAAGGGAAAAAAAATACAGTACATGGAACTTACTGTGATATCCCACTGTGCTGGTTT